TAAAGAGTTCCTACAAAAGGAAGGGTGTGATACTTGTCATAAGAGAGGCACAGAGAAGCTGCAATGGAAGCCAGATGAAAGGGAAACTAAGCAGACTTCATGGCAGAGGCACTGGGTTGGGCTCAAGCTGGAGGTGGGTGTAGGCAAATGGCAGTGGGGCAGGAGTCAGGGAGGCAAGCACTTTACAGAGAGACAGGAAACAGTGTGCTTGAGGAATGGAGAGAACACTCTCTATTCTCAGGTCATCAAGCGTTAGATGCACAGAGCTGCCCAGCTCCCTCCTAGGGCTACTGGCTCATGGCAGGTGCAGGTGAAGCCCTGTCTCTACCTCCAAGCCCGCATCCTGTCCTAGCTCTGTCTTCTTAGCACTGTGTTCCCAGGGACTACCTCAGACGCATGATGGTCATGCAGAAAATACACAAACATTACTGAACATGACCTTCATTGTGGTTAGCCAGTCGGGTCCAGTGGAACCACCGCAATCACTGGCCCTGCCACATGCCCCATTCGAAACCCAAATTTGCACCCTACTTCCTGAATACCTTGTCCATTTTTGGTTTTGATTTTGTTTTTTGTTTGTTTGTTTGTTTTTAAGGAAAAAGCAAGTGCCCTTATTTCTTAATTAACAGTAAGATGCCCCTCCCACTTCCCTACACCCTCCCTGCTCCATCCTACAAGCATGGTACCAAATGCAAGTATTCACTTATGCAAGGAGGACCTGAATGTATGTGTGTGGTAGCACATGCCAGCACACTGTACCAATGAGTACCATCACTAGTCAAGACCAGCCAAATCCTTACATGGTCTCCGGCCAAAACTCTACCTCCACATAGCATGCATTAGCCCACTGCACAAAACAGATCAAATCTAGTTTTGTTCAATGCTTCTACAGTAGTGACCATGGCTATCTTTGCCCAACCAAAGTCAGATTTCATAGTCAAAAAGTACTAAAGAAAAAGTGTCACAAAAGTGACAAGAAGACAACTCACAGCCCGAGGTTCCCTGAAGCAAGGGATGGATTTATCCATCTTCTAATCCCTGGTGCATGGCACTAAGCCTGATACACCAGCAGGAGCTCAGTGGAGCTGAGTGAGTGAATGAATGAAAAAGAAACTAACAAGCAAATGGACATCATGGGATAGAATCATTTCACTCGGGCTCACTTTGGAACAGTAGGCAAGCTCGATAATTCTTGGCAACCAATCAGGAGCAAAACTAGCAACTGGTTCTGCTTTGTTCTTTCATTGCCCTAGAAGGAGTTTTAGGTTTGTCTCAGGAGGATACCCTTGGAGTCAGACTGGGATGAGGTCTCAGTGCTGCCTGTTCCTTGTTTCTTCTTTTAGGCTCTCCTACCTCCACGACTTGGAGCACTGCTGTACTTGCCTTTAAATATCACTGGCTTGGCCTTGCATATTTTCAGCAAGTTGTCAGGAACGGACACTGGTTCTCCGGTGGCCACAATGGGAAAGGTGACTGAAGCTGGTCCCACCAAGCCAACCTGGGGCACGCAGGACATACCTGCACTCTCTAGGAACACGCCAAGGATGTTAGGAAGATACATCAGACAAGGTATCCATCTCCAGCAGATCTGATGTCAGCTGGCCAACAGATCTGCTACCAATCTGAACCACATCCCCACTTACAGGATCACCAATGTCTTAGAATCACAAATTGCTTAGGTCAAAGACACCTTTAAGTTCATTCAGTCCCACCTTTCCCACCAAATGACTCAGTCTCCTCCTCTCTCACATCCCCGTCAGGTAACAAATAAGCCCCTTTTCAAATTTCTCTAGGATCATGGAACTCACTATTATGCAGAGATCCTAGGCCTTGGAAAGCAACTGTAACATATGAGACAGAGATCCCTTTGTTATACCGAAGCCTGCCTCCCTAGAATTTCCCTACCTACACACATATACATGTGCAAGTGCATGTGCACATGTGCACGCCCCCACTAGCAGCACCACCACCACTAGTACCCAAGTCTAGGATTTGGGGGAAGGCCGTGGTCACTTACCATGCTTAGCTCTGTTCCCACCACCCTGGGGACAGCCACCATCTGTAGCTAAGATCCCTTTGTTATACCGAAGCCTGCCTCCCTAGAATTTCCCTACCTACACACATATACATGTGCAAGTGCATGTGCACATGTGCACACCCCCACTAGCAGCACCACCACCACTAGTACCCAAGTCTAGGATTTGGGGGAAGGCTGTGGTCACTTACCATGCTTAGCTCTGTTCCCACCACCCTGGGGACAGCCACCATCTGTAGCTGATGGAGATTCTGGAGACCACCCTTTGTGGCGTTTTTTGGGGGGCCCGGAATTTGGCAAGACACCTAGACAACAATCAAAGTAAGGATTAGGCTGTCACTAGAAAAGAGCTTGAACAAAGCTTTCCCCTGATTTGGAGAATACTTACTTGATATGCAAAAAAAAAAAAAAAACACAGCTTTACAGTGGGTTTTAAGTATCTAGTGAAGTATCTAGACTTGAGGAAACATCCTACCAATTTTTGTAACTGTTTCATTCCAAAGCTGTTTCTCTGTCTAAGCTGTCTCTCTTTCTGAGCCTCAGCTCTTTCATCTTTAAAATGGGATAATGAAATCTACTCTGAAAGGCAGTTCGATCAGGACTGAAGAGAATATACGGGAAGCACTTCGAGCAACACTGAGCAGAGAGCTTGGGCCCAATAAACAGGAGCCAGCACTACTCACGTCACCACCCTTGTTATCTACACATTCCCATTTATTTTCCAGGAGCTGGAAGGGAGAAAAGTGTTTCTGCAGAGAAGTGGCTGCTGCATTCAACCCACCACCAGTTTCACCACTTGGGGGCAGTACTGATTCACCATGCGCCCCACTCCGCCCCAGAAAGCTAATTTCAGACAAAAAAATCAAGGACAGAAGTTGGTACCCTCCGCTGTTAATGAGTCATCCCTGCCCACTCTAGGTAACAGCATACTCATGACTCAAACTATGTTCTTCAGTGATTCAAAACATCAAGAACTGGTTACCATAGTTTCTTGACCAATCTGACCCAAAATTTCCCCTACATTTACAGCTCCAAGTCTCAACCTTGGCTATACACTAAACTCACCTGGGAAACATAAAACTCCCTGTCTGGAGGCAAACCCATCCCAGGTCAACCAGAAGCCCAGCATTGGGTGTGGCCTGGACAACCCATATCTTGGAGCCCCTGGTGATTCTCACACACAACCAGATTGAGACTCATGGCAGAGATGGGGCTGCCCAGAACCCGCAGGGCTTATGGAGACAGTCCTTTCCTGGGCCCCGCCTTGCCCTACAGAATCAGATCCCTGGAAATGGCAGGAAGAAACCACCATCCTTCACTAGTGCCCTAAGATGCTGCCGTTTGAGAATTATCGCTTTAGAGTCTCTTGAAAGTAATCCAAAAATATTTTTACCTCTTCTTTAGACTGACTGCAAATGCATAATGTGAATAAAAAGTTAAAAACATAAAGTACTTTGTTTACATAAAGCTTTCAAACCAGTGGGCTCCCGGTCCTTCCGGCAACCTCTGGGGCAGCTACTGTCATCATCCCCTTGAATACCAGGTCGACTCCCCACACACCTGTCCTCCAGGGCAAGGGAAGAGCCCCACAAAGACTGCGGCCAACAAGGCGGGCAGAGAATAGAATTAGGTCTCAGTGCTACAGAAGAGAGATCTACTGATATTTTCTCACTGGTTAGGACTGGAAGCCTTGGATTCCATCCAGAAAATACATTTGCTCCTTCAATGAAGAATGAGACAATGCACAAGATTTTCACCATGGAAATTCTCCACCAGCACAGAGTAGTAGAAGCAGGGAGACTGGATTCTAGGCCTGGCCCTGCCTCTCTGGACCTCAGTCTCCTGCTCTGGAAAACAGTGCTCGGCCAGATGACTTCTAAGTGTGATGTCTTGGATCCTAAAATCCAGTTTGGCTATGTGCATAGGGCTGGCTTATGAAATGGCTCCAGACCAGCGGGGTGTGGAGAGTAGCCCCAGGCTGCTCCACCCCGTCTTCCTCACCCCTTCACTCGCCTCTCTCTCATCCACACACTCCCCTCCTCATCCCCATTGGCCCACGCCCTCCCATATCATCTCTACTGAATGCTCCCCCAACTTCAAGCTACAGCTCAGCTACTGCCTCCTCCTGGAAGCCTTCCCTGAACAGACCAGCCCCAGTGAGGATGCAGATGAGAATGACGACAGCCAGCACCAATTAGAGAGCTGTCAGATGTGCCCTGACTTTGCACACAGCCCTCATAGATCCTCTTAACCACCCTCGGAGTGGGACTCTGATTTCCAGATGAGGAAACATTCAAGGAGACTTGTCCAAGGCCCTTGACCAACAAGAGACAGAGTTTGGTTTGGAATTTATATTTATCTGACTCTGAAGCCCATGTTCTTCCCCAACACACCATATTGCCCTTATTTCTCCAAAACTCTATAGCCCTCCTGATGTGTGGCCCAGGAGACACAACACTCATGTCACTGCTGCTTAGCAGACCCAACATCTCCTGTGTGTGAGCGTGTGACTCCTCTCTCAGGGATGGAAGCCATGGCTTTCCCCACAGCACCAAGGCCTGGGACAGACCAACAGACTCCAGAGCCACCTGCTGACCTGGCCTGACTCTCATCAAAGCAACACCAGATTCCAGGAGGCTCAGCAGCCCCAGCCCAGCAGCTCCCATGCTCCCTCTGGCCTTGGCCCAGAGAACAGGAGAATACTAGGACGGGCAACACTACCTAAGGCTGAGGGCCGTGGCAGGGCCAACAGGTTGTTCTTCACCAGCTGTTGGTGCTTCGGGGAATCTTTGCCATTGAAGACAGCTGGCCCCACTGCTGTGGTTAGTGAGGGGTGATCAGAGGCTGGTCCTGAAAGCAAAGACAAAGAAGGGACAGCAGAGGGTCAGTTTGCAGGAATGCTCTGAGAGCCAAGCAAGTGGGAAAGTACTTTCTTCCATTTTTACGAACTAGCTTTTCACTGGCAAGTCCTATCAGGAGGTCAGAATTCTGACATAGTGATTCTGCCCTGCTGAGAGAACACATACAGACACATGCGCACACATGCATACTCCTGCTTGTAATACACACGCACAAGTATATACATGCACATGTGCACACGTACACACACGTGCATACATATACACACATACGTACTCATGCTTGTACATACATATGCACAAGCATACACATGCACATGGGCACAAACACACACATGCTGACATGCGTGTATACATGCACACATATACTGCTCGCATGTACATATGTACGTGCACAAATGTATGCTCATACATATACACACGTGCACAAACACACATGCATGCACACATTCCTGACTCGCACATACACACGCGCATGTGCAAACATGTGTGTACAAACATACACATAAGCATGCACACACTGTAACACATGCACATACGCACACTCCTGCTCACACCTCAATGGGCACAGCCTGGGTAAAAGAGGGACCAGGGGGCTCCCTGAATTCCGGGACCACTCCTGAAACTGCTGCCTTCTACTCTTTCACCCTCCAGAGTTCAGGTTTGTATGAAAACACAGCTGGGAAAGCTGTCAGGTTTGAACCCTATTCCATCACTGCCTAGCTGTGTAGCCTTGGACACTCACTTACTCTCCCCTGCCTCAATGTTCTCATCCATAAAATGGGAGTAATAATAGTAGCAACGCACAGAGGCCTTGTGAAAACAATATGGGTTGGCAGATGTCAAGTGCATAGAACGGGGCCTGGTCTGGCAAGCACCAAGTATTTGCTATTACCATCATCTTATCTCTTTCCTATGATCGCCCTGCAAATTAGACGGAAAAGATTTTCCCCAACTTCACAGATGAGGAAACAGAGGTTCAAATAGTTTAAGTGAGTTGCCCTGAATCACTAAGCTAGAAGGTGACAGTGCAGGAACTTACACCCAGGTGCACCAGCAGCAAAAACAGCAAGGCCTGGGCACGATGAGGCAGTGAAGACCAGAGCAGACGCCATGTGGAAGGGGGCTTGGTGCCCCTGGAGGAGAGCGCATCCCCAGCCCTGGGGAAGGATGCGCCAGCACGTGCAAGGGCACCAGCTTCCCTCAGGGCCAATGCGCCTCCACAAACCCTCTGGGTGGGAGGAATGAAAACCACCACCGACCTTCCAGAGTCCTTGAGAGGGCTGATATCTACTGCGATAACAACTATCATGCTTAGCAGGCCTGTTCAGCATGGCCAAATACCAGGCATGGGAATCAGAAGCAGCGGGTGTAGAGTCGTGTCTCTGTCTCCTCTAGCCCATGAAGTCCTCAGCAAGCACTCAGCCTCTATGGGCCTCCACTTCCCCGTGGAGATACTGGAGAAACCTAAGGCAGCCCGCATGGTGTATACGTGGAGTTGGGCCCACTGAGCACACGGTGAAGGGCAGCAAGCTCATTCTCTCTGTCCCTTCCACGATCCCCTTCAAACACTGACTTAGTATCTGTTGTACAGTAAGTCCTATACTACTAACGGGGGGTTGCAGCGGGAGCCCACAGTCAAGGGGACCATGTTATGTATCAAACAGGGATGCAGAAAAGCTTTCCAAATGGAAAGCACAGCATTCTTTGTTGAAAACTAAACCAAATTCAAGATGAAATGTGAAGCAGTAGCAGAAAAAGACAACACAGCATGCCCTTTATTTCGAAGACTGTATCATCAACCAGACATGCTGGAGACACGCCAGCTCTGGGGTGCAGCACCCCTGGTGCTTCTCTGTCACCTCACCTGCCTGCTGGGCTCCCATCAGAAGGCCGGGGTTCGTTGCAGGCACAGGCTCGCTGGGGGTGGCCGCCGGGGGTCCCAAGCTCTCCAGGGGCAGAAAGAAGGGACTGGAAGAAGCACCGGGGGACGATTGCCGGCCTCTGAACTCTAAGGGGCAAGATGCACACGTGACAACCAAGTCGCTCCTCTCCACTGTTACAAAACCATTTCCTGGACTAGAACTTGTCCTACAGGAGCATGAGATGTGCAGACAACCATAAAAGGTACCACCACCACACGAGTCTTTGCTTGTGTGTGGCCGGGGCGGGAGAGCTACTACCCTCTGCCCCAGATCCATGCCAAGGGGCAGCTCTGATTGTTGGGGGTGGAGCAACAGTGAGCAGTGGGTAGAAAGAGAAAGTCACTTTATACAAACAAGTCACCAATCACTGCTCTTAGAACGCAAGGAAAGCTCAGCTCATTTCTGGAAGGAACAACTGATACTTTCCTGCATTCTGTAAGTCCTACTTGGTTCTTACATCTACTGCATTCTTGTAAGTCCTCATATCAAACTGATGAGGTACTTGGTCATAGCAAGTGAGTAGGGCCTGGCACATAGTTCGAGCTCAGGAAACACTGACTAAAGGAAGAGAAGAAGAGGGAAGGAGGAGTAGGATGGGAGAGGGAGGGAGGAATGCCCAGAGACACCCACTCCTGAAGCCTCTTTCTTCTACCCACAGAGCCTGCCTGTGAGATTCCAGAAGACCAGACAAGGGAGGGACAAAGGGATAGCCCTCCTGGCCACCTCACTGAAGAGTCCCTTCCAGGACTTGCTACCCCCAACCCAGGCAGAAAATCTACATCCATAGCTGATTATGGCCATGATAGAGACAGGGGAGACAAGCAAGGGCCGGAGTGGAGCCCAGCCACCTCTTCAAGGACAGTGGTGGAAGCTGGTCTTTCTGGTCACAGTTAACAGTCTCTAAATCAAGGTTTCTCAGCCTTGGCACCACTAACATTTTGCACAATCCAGGATTCTTTGTGCTGGTGGCTGTCCTGTGCACTGTAGGATGTTTAGCAGCAGCCCTGGCCCCTGCCCCTACAGGCCAGTAGCACCCTCCAGTCATGATGATCAAAAATGTCCCCAGAAATTGCCAAATGTTCCCTGGGGGACAAAAATCACCCTACTGATTTTGTGCCGCAAATACTTGCCACAAGGAGACAGAGCACAATGTGGCCCTCTGTCAACTTTTAAATGTTCCGTAGAATTGGTCGCTATAAACTACTTAGGCACCTGCAATGCAAAGAAGTGTGCTCAGTTTCACAGGCCTGGCCCTTGCCTGCAATCCATGTGCTACAGAGTGGTCAGTCACAGTGGCCCATTGAGGGGACAATCCCAGCATCCGCACAACCCCTCCAAAGCCAAACTCCTCACCTGAGCCTTTCCAACAAATCAAAGGTCCTTTGGTTAGAGTTCCTTGTGCATTACGGACCAGGTAATACTTCAAGTGTTTCTGCTTCTTGGGCTGGGTGGTCAGTTTCAGATTTATATGATTGGAGAATTCTGTGAAGTAACAGAAGCCTTTCTTTCCACAGCCAACACAATTCCCAGAGAAACCTAGAGAAGAAAACAAACAATAAACATTTCCAACTCACCTCCAAAATCCATTTCAAGTAATAAATAGTTCTCTGAAACTCTGAACATTCATGTCCAGTACCACCAACCAGAGAATTCTGCAAGGCAATGGTCCCCATCATCTTAGACTATTCCAGGGGTCAAGATAGCCTCAACTCAAACAGGAGAAGGACCAAGAAGACTTAGTCATAGAGATGGGCCCACGCCCCAAGCTTGGAAGATTTAACCTGCTCAGGGGCATACTTAACCATCTATATATAAAGCAAACTTGCAGGACAAGAGCTATCCTATTCAACTGTCCACACTGATCAAGTACCCATAATTATTTGATAGGCTCCCATTTCTTTTGGCATTGGCCAGTTATGGAATCTCAGAGCAACAAGACCAGTGAGGCTGGCTACACTGGAATCCAAAATTCCATCCTGGAGTCAAGCTGATTCCATGAGTTGCTGAAAAGACAACAAGAGTACTCCACAATGCATGCCGGGACACGGGCAAGTGAATTCTGTGGTTCATCAGCCAGTGGGCTGGAGATAACTCTGCTGGGATGTGGCTGTCTCAGGGTCTGCGTCCTCCTGCCCAAGGCTGGACTGGGCCTTTCTGGGAGCTGATGGAGGCTTCCAACAGCTGTGAGGCTCTGGGAAGGCTACCCATGCAGTGGCAATGACAAAACCCCTTCACATGAACTATTAAAATCCAGAGAATGTGCTTGAAAAGACCTTTATACCTTGTAAAGCCTATTTGAACTATACTCATTAGAAGCGGTGGTTAATACAAAAGAAACATGGTTACCTTCTCTATCTGGCCACTGTTCTCATTTAAACTATCTCAACAAGACCCTCCTTCACCCACTGGTATGTCTGGTTTCTACAGGTCCAAGGTCCTTTGGCAGGAGAGACCCTGAACTGAGACTAATTTATTTTATCATATTCTCTGGCTGACAAGTCTACAAAGGTCACTTTGGGCTCTGTGCATGAGCTCTGCTCTTGGACACGGTATCCCTGAGGTCTCTAACTGTTGTTCAAAATAACTCCAGTTAGTGGAGGTTAAAAATATCTCCCCAGAAGAATAAGACACTACATTATTGAAGCCTATTGGAGTCTCTGCTCTATTTTATTCTTAGGAAAGCTAATATTCCTCAAAAAGCCTTAGAAATAAACACAAATCTCTTGTCCTTGCTATAGGACAGTTACAGGATAATTTAATCTTTCACAATCCTGTTCCCTCTTTATCAGCACAAATACACATGGTACCAAAGAAATGCCAAATGCTGTCCTCTATATTTACCTGTTTCTTATGGGACAGGCGGGCACTACCATGCACAGAGAGTCAGGGACATTCATTGTACTCCACACAGGCCCCTTGGCTTCATTGACACAACAGCCAGTCAATCCAAGAGCAAACCTTCCTTTTGTGAAACCAGAGAGCCTAACTGCGCAGAGTCACAGATACAGAACGTGTGGCATTCGATTGCAGCATGAGGATGAAGTCCAGACCTGCCAGCACAGCACCCGAGGCCACCCCGACCCTCCAGCCCTCATCTCCAGCTGCTCTTCCTGTCCCTCACTCTGACTGGCCCAATTACCAGCTGGACTCCCCTGCCTCTCACACCCAGACATTCCCAGGCTCACCTTTTCCTCTGTACACCCCACCTGCACGTGTCCACGTCCAGCTGTCACTCGATGCCTGCTCCAATGCTCACTCTTCCAGAGCCTTCCCTGATCCAAAGAGCCAGCTCACACTTCTCTAGGCTCTTACACTCCTTATATTACTCAGATGGCCCTTGAACTTCGTGTTCAGTGTTAGTTATTGAAATTCATGTCTTTTTCCCCATAATTAGCCCTATCCTTCCAAAGGGCTAAGCTCATGGTGCAACCGCACATTCGAGTGACGTTTGTGTACATAGGGTCCAGAATGACACCCAGCACATGGAGGGCAGTTGGTAAATATCAGGAGGGAGGAAGAAGAGAAGAAACAGGATAACTACAGGTGGGAACATTTCAGGGTTTCTGCATACAGTCCGAAGTAATAACCTAATGATTTTACTTATTCATTCATCTCCACCCTATAGCCCTGAGGTAAACACAGCTCAACTGCCATCTACGAATCAGGCCCTGAGAAACCTTCAGAGCTCCCTGGAAGGGATTCTAAGCCTAAGTGTAGGAAAGATGGTGAACAGAACTGCAAGACCAAGGATGCTAAGAGCAATTTGCTAAGACCAGTGCCACCATCCCTTTCCAGAAACAGCTAAACGGATTACAGACATTTGTCCCCAGAGAAATGTGGGCTGGAGACCATCACTCTGTTTTGGAAGCTACGTTTAGCAGGAACAGGAGCCACAGACAATAAGGAGCTCCTCTTTGTGGTTCAGAAATGAAAGCAGACACCCTCAGTCTTGCTGGCACAGTAAACATTCAGGGAGCCAACGAGCAAACTGCACTGCTGCTTTGACAAATACTTTCTGGTCAGGAGACACAGCTACTCTTCTGAGAGGTGATTCTGGAGAGATGGGACTCAGGGGCCAATTGAGAAAACCAGGTGGCTTCTCAACCAGCCCCAGAAGACAGGGGATATGGTTTAAAGCACCCCAGCTAACCATTTGAGGTAATTCTAACTCTTCAAGAAATTGTTTGAAAGACAATAAGTTTTCACAAAAAAGAGTAAAGTAATGAGCCACTCTCTTCAGAAATCTACCTTAGGACTTGAAAGCCCATAAAAATCTCTTTACATGGGCCTAGAAAGCCTGGGATCCAGCCTGAAACCTCAAATTCCTGCCAGACACAGATACCCAGAATTGAGAGAAATTATTCCTTCACTGTACTGCACCATGGGAAATAGTCTATAAAGATGAATCTCATGACCACCCATAGCCACACCATGTGATTCTGCTGCAGGTGTAGTTGAGCGGCCACAGGAAGCATCTGCTTAACAAGCACATCCGAATGGACACCCGCAGGTGCCAGCCACCAGCCAGGCTCCCCTTCTGTCCACTCCCTCCCTCCTCTGCAATGCAGCATGCACAAACTCGGAAGTCAGAGGGGCCTGGGTGCAAATCCTGACTCACGAGTTATGTGACTTTGGGCAGGTTGGTAACAGCCCTGAGCTGTGCTTTCCTCATCTGTAAGAAAGATGACAACAGCCAGCATTCACTGCACGCCTAGCACATGCCAGGCACTGCATCAAGTACTTTGCATTATAAACGTTCCCATTTAAACCTCACAGAGCCCTACAAAACAATCCGTGGCAGTATCCCTAGTTGACAGATGAGCAGATCGAGGCATAGAGAGAGGAAATAACTCATCCTTGGGTACAGGGTGGGAAGTGTCGGAAGTGGGATTTGAACCACTCTGATAAGCAATCACCCCACAAAGTCCCTTCTGTAGGAGCACTGAGGGGGGTCAAGTGCCCGCTATATCGCACCACAGGTGCTGGGTGAGGCGTCCTTCCCCTTCCTCTCTCCAACAAGGCTGTTAGGGAGGAGCGTGCGGTCAGGGACTCAAGTCTGCCCACAGAAAAGCAACGACACAGCAGCTCACAGCACCCTGACACGTGGGGCAACTGGCTCCATTCTCTGGGTTTCCATTTCTCAACCACAAAAGGGGAGGTTTGGACAAAATGGGCCTGTGCTTCCTCCCAGAACCAAAGTCACACGATTCTCTTGGAATCTTCCACAGGTGGCTTCCTTTGGACTCGGTGGATGGTCTCTGAGCACATGCCTTACAGCAGGCTGGAGGCAGCCCAGGTTTATATTTGCCCTCCCCCCAACCCTCAGGAATGGTTCTGGAAGCCCACAGGCACCTTCCCTTTCCTTCTTGAGCCACAGCCACTGCATGAGACATGAGTGGCCACCAACCAGCCCTCCAGGCCCGCCGACTCGCCCCTGTGCTTTCCCAGGAGTGTGGACCCTCAGAAAGTGTCCAGGGCAGGCGGTCACTTGGCCCTGTCAATCATCCATGAAAAAAATGCAAAGCTGACGAGTATTAAGCACAAATACGTTTTGAGCAATGAAGCGCTCATTTAAAGAACCAGGTGCTAGGAATTAAACCAGGTGCTCTAAGGAAGACAGAGATAAAAAAAAGAAAAGAAATACATGGCCCCTGACAGGAGAAAGAGACAGAGAAAACTGAACAACTCCATTATCGAGGCAATATCTATCTAACCAGAAGTACCAGGAGTACCAACTGCAGTTCTTCCAATGTGGGCAGCACTTTAGAGTGTGTACCCAGCTGGCATAGCCTCAACTCAGCACTCAGATAGAACAAATAAATATCATTATCTCCCTTCACAGATGGAAAACCTGTAGCTCCAAGAGAGGAGGCACCTCCCTGCTAAGCCGGGGCTTGCTTTTCTGGCGCAATGCGCTGGGGGAAGAACGGGGAAAGCAACAGGAGTAATTCAGGAAGGCGATTCCAGGAAGACGTCCCGGCAAGAAGGACTTAAACTGGGCCTTGATGAAAAGGTGGTTCCTCAACAGTGCCTCTCTGCCCCTTTCCAGTAACAATCCATCATAGTGGGCATGGGCTACACCTGGCAAGCTAAGGGCCAACCTCCCAGTCCCTAGAAACAAATGGTGACTTGGAACAAAAATGGGATCATCTTTGACTCACTTCAGCATATTAAGCGAATAAACAGAACCCAGCATTATATCTATGCTGTGATTACCAGCTTATAAAAATTACCTTCAATCCCCACCTGGATGGTGAATGGAAAAGATAATGGGCAAAATAAAACCAGATGTTCATTTTTGCATAGTGGGGTTTAGGCAATTTCTCCTTTTTTTAGTTTTTGGATTTCTGCTATTTCTGTCACTCCCCTATTTGTGGCAGTAAATACAGCCTAACAACAAGTGAGAAAAAAATTTTTCTACAGGACTCGCCTTGATATTTTGGCCAAATCTTTACTGAAGTGTAGAAATGACATACTTGGGTCAAGAGAATGTAGGAGCCGTATCAGGATTTCAGATGGGTTGGGACCTGGGGCAGAGGTGGAGTGCACAGAGATGGGATGAACTCAGGGGCAGAAAACAGTACAATGTTGGAGGGTTTGAAACTCGTAACTGTCAGGCCAGTGTAGTTATCTGGAAACCCGCAATAAGCTTATAATTAGTTCCCCTACCTCAGTTTCTCCCTTTTTATAAAAATCAGTTATGTGTGTGATCTCCAAAATATCTTTCTGAAACAAATTAGAACATGGTAATCACCTTAACACTCCCAATGTTTCTTAAAAACATAAATTGTAAGGGAAAACTAGGGAGGAAGGACCTATAGATTAAGAATTAAGAGACATATAATCAAATGGTTTGGGAGAAGATTGTTTGGATCTTGGTTCAGATAATCCAACAGAGGGGAAAACAGTAAGGTAAAATTTGAACATACTGGATATTTGATAATATTAAAGAACTGTTGTTAAATTTTTTAGGTATGATAATGGTATCAGATTTCCAACGAAAAGCCCTTATCTTTTACAGATATACAATGAAATATTTACAGATGAAATAACACAATGCCTGGGATTTGCTACAAAATAATCCCGGAGGGGGAGAAGAAGTGGGAGTTATAAATAAAACAAGATTGGCGGTGAGTGGGTAAATGTCAAGATGAAGCATAGAAACATGATACTATCCCACTCTTCTCGCTAATTCTGCAGTTTGAAGATGGCTTCCTGGTTACCACAGAGGCAGGACCACAAGAGGTCCTTCTCCCAGCAGGACCACCAGCCTTGCTGCAGCCTCTGCCCTCGAGTCCAGCTCCAGCCACAGGCAGTTCTCGCCATGTCTCCTGCGTGCCCAGCTCTTTTGTACACGTGGTTCCTGCTGCCTGTGACGCCCTTCCTCATCTGGGTCCAGATTCAGGGCCACCAGTTACAGGATGGGTGACCTTGTGCAAGTTAACCTCTCTGTGCCTTCATTTCTTCATATGTGAACACTAGGTAATAACGTACGCACTGCACTGGGCTGTTTTAACTAACTTAGAACATGGCAAGTGGTCAATAAACATAAGCTGCCATCAGTGGTTAGTTACTGCTGCTGTTGTCGCCTGTTATTCTCCAACTGGCAAAAATCCACACATTTTTCAGGGCCCAACTCAGATTCCACATCCTCTGAGACAACTCTCCCATCACTGAGTCTACAGGCCCTTCAGTATCCCAACACTTTAAAACTTCTGCTGTAGCATGTTGCACAAAAATCTCTTGTAAGATGTACTGACATGGTCATTTTGTGGCCCTCCAGATGGATTCTCTGTTTACCTGTGTTTCACCAGATGGTGAGCTCCCCAGGGAAGGGCTGGGTCCGACTTGGCTCTGGGGCCCTGGGTATCACCAAATGACCAGCCTTTAGTTTGGGGTTATACATTTGGTAAATGCTTGCTGAATTATTTGCCTGCTGAATGAACAAAAGACTCATTTACTCCCATCTAAACAGTGAACATTCTAGCAAGATATGTTTTCTTCCCTTACATCCTAGCCATCAGCCAATTTAAATGAATTACTGGCCAAAAACTGAAACACCAAGATTTTTATCTTTCAGCTTTCTCAGATAAAATTCCTCAGTTGATTCAGAGTCCCTAAAGAAAATTCCTAAAGCCTTTGCTTGCCCCCAAGGTATTTCACAGCCTCTATTTTATAGATCACTAAAAAGCACTGAACCCGACCACTGCAGGGACGCAGGGACCCCCTTGTCCTATGCAGCCATTAGGATTAATTGCAGGAAACCCAAACAGTGTTAAGTGTGCAAGCTGAGAGCATAAAGTTATTTTAAAAGAAGAAAGCGAGGGTTATTACCAATCAGCCCTTGTTACCCATTTCAGGTGGCTTTTTGGCGGGCAATTAACAAAGCTCCTACTTCCTCTGCACTCGACCACCGCCCAATTAGCTGGCGCTGTCACGGGCTGGTGGCAACGGAACTGAAAGATTCTCATCTCTGCAGGTCAGAAGGCAGAACCTCCTTGACTCACTACCCTCTCAATTCCTTTACAGTCACAAAGTGATGCGATTCAGCCAAATCCCCAGCTAATGCCAGATCAAACGCTAACGCAGCCATCAGGCACAGTCTTCTCCAGCGCATTTTTATCCTGGGCAGCCTTGGTAAGCAAATTCCATCTGAGATTGAATGATTCCATCAGCTTCTTCAGGACAGAGAATTTTCTGGGATTATTCTTGTTTTAAAGGACTAGTTACAGTTAAGTCCAGGGACCTGCCTAAAGAGAGGTTTGGCTAAAACTGCTTCTCTTCCTCGTCACTGTCCCAGAGCTGTGCTGTCCTTCCAGTGAGCATGCCCCTGCCTGGTTTCGGATTTACACACAGACATGTCCCCTTACTGCCCTTCTGCTAGGACCCATTTCATTTTCTTTGCTGGGGCAATCCCCACTCTCTCCTCTTTCCATAAATTCTCACAATCAAACTCAATCCTACAACGAAGATTGTTCCTAAGGCTACATCTGAAAAAGATCACTACCGTTCCTTCCACCTGCCCAGTGCTCCACCAATGGAGACACCAGGCCAGGTGAAAGGGCCAGACCCAAAGTCATTGAACAGAACAGACTGCAGCAGGGCTGACAGCATATGTGGAAATCACCCCCCCCCACCCCCACTTCATGTATGAGTACACCGAGGCCCAGAGGGCCACCAGAGACCAGTGGTCAGATGCAAGACTGGAACCCAGATCTCTGGGCTGTCAGTCCAAATCTCAGATCTCCCTGGATTTTGCTCCACAACAGGGGAGTGTATGACTGGGGACCCGGCACATAGTAAGTGCTCAATAATGTCATCTGAACAAATGGGAGCCAGGTTTGGCGAGGCTCGGCCTCAACTCTCCACTGAAGTTGGGGCCCTAGAGGGTCGGCGGTTGTTCAAAAGATCAAAGGTTCCACTGGCTGGAAGGGAAAGCCACGGCTCTCCCTTCTGGACTTTGACCACAACATTAGATGATGTGGTACAGTACTTAAAGGGTAGAATTTGGACCCAGGAAGACTTGAGTTTGGATCCTGGCTCTGTCTTCTTTCCTCATGTGCCCTGGGCAAGTTTGTGAACAGGTCCAAGCCCACTTGTAAAACTGGGATAATAATGACCGCCTTTTGAGAGCAGATCAGTGAACCAAAGCAAAGGGCAGGATGACACAAGGGCTTGGAGGTCATTCAGTACATGAACATTCCGGAACACACACTCAGCCCTGTTCTCTTGGCCTCACATCAGCTGGTTTCTGAGAGTGCCTAAGACAGAGTTTGTAACCCAGTCCTGACACAGGTGGGCACTTAGAAAGGATTGAGAAATAAATATATGAAAAAATTAATACTAAATGAAGGGCTTTCTATACAGAGGTGGTCGTGTTTCAAAATAAATCTCACTGGCATTCCAGTCTACAAAGAAACTGTCTACCAAAGAACATAAACGGGGTCATGTGTCTCACTGAAGAGGTCCCAAAGATGGCCTCTCTGCCACTTCCACCACCAGCTAAGGCCTCCCCTGTCCCTGCCCCACCACATGCAGATGGAGCCGCAGAGAAGGGCAAAAGAGGAACTCACCAAGAAGAGCATTGTGGCCGTTGTCATCCGGCAGGAATCTCTTGTCAACAGCACACACCAGGAGGTGGTCTGGCAGGCTGGGGGCCTTGGCCCCCACCAGGAGAAAGCCCGCAGGAACTTCAATGGGCTCATTGCAAATGGAGACGAGGCGCAGGTCCTTCCCGACCTGGCAGAACCCTAGGAGGGAAGGACAGGGCTCACACCAGGGACCTCCCAGAGCCAGGGGTCACAGGGCAAAGAGTGGAAATGGTCTGGGTCTTGTCAGGAACAACCTGTACCTCTGGGTGTGATTAGCTTCAAAATAAATGCTGAGATAAAATTATAATCATAGTTCTTCATGACATTGATCACTTGTTAATTCAACAGAAAAAAAACTTAAGGAAATTAAAATGTATGCAAGATAAGTCCATAAGTAATTGAGAGTAATCTGACATTTTTTACATGCTGCATTTTACATGGATGAGAAATAAGCAAATGTCAAGAATGAGGGGTGTCAATAAGGCTCACTTAATTCAATGGCCTTTTTAGCACTTGGCCCCTACCCCATGAAGAGCCACTGTGTCCTGCAAGAGCAGCCCCAGTGTGGGCTGAGTCCCTCCCCTGCTGGCCATCACATTCAGGGTCCAGGCTCCCAGCTGGGCACATGGAGCTCCCACAACCAGTCTGATCACTTCTCCAAGCCCAGCCCTGCCACCTCTCAGGCCCCTACCTAAAGAAACTGCTAGCAGTTCCCCAAACAGGCTACATTTTCGCCCCTCTAAGCCTTTGCACATGCTGTTTCTTCTATCTGGGATTGCCTGGCTTCCCCCAATGCCATCACAGTCTCTCAACTCCTACTAATCCTCCAAAACCCAGATAAAGTACCACCTCCTCCAGGTAGCCTTCCCAAAACTCCCTACCTATGTCAGAAGCCTCTCCTCTGCTCCAGTGCACCCTTTCCTCTGCTTGCCCCACCCCAGCACTTACACTCTGTGAGAAGGGTCTGCTTCCCTACAGTGCTCCCAATTAAACCAGGAGCTCTCATATTTACAGAGTAAGAGCTCAATAATTAATTACTGTTTAATTTAATCACCCCTTGATTGGTATGACAACAGGACAGATGAACTTACTAACAGTCACTGGACTAAGCTACCACCCCACCCAGCATCTATGGTTCTCAGTTCCTCAACAGCAAAATGGGAATAACATTACTGGTTGTACAGAGTTCCTGAGATAATGCATATCTGCTCATTTAACAATAAAGTGCTGATAGATGTGCAAGACTATTCCTACTAATCAATTCTGAGTTAAATATGCTGCACAAGCAGGCATGAGTAAGGAAAATATAGTCTAGTTTTCAAACAACCAACACAGAAAAATGGATTTCTGGATTCCAAGCCATTCGTAAAGCTGAGGCTGTCCAAAGAGTGGCCAAGTGGCTGCACGCCTGACTCAGTGTCCTGGGGCGTGGCATTTCCAAAGCTGCTGGCTTGTGGGGGCAGGCCAGGGCCCATGGGCACAGCTCACACCACAGGGGCACAGGACGGGCAGCGTCTTACCATCCGTGGTGCAGCACCCTTCAGGCGGAGGTGGCAGCTGGTAGGGATTTGGGGCACCACTTGCTTCCAGCCTTCCTTCTCCCTCCTCCTCCTCTTCCTCATTGTCTGCTCGGCTTCCACCTAGATGTGGGAGAGAAGAGTGATGATCTGGGACGGAGCAGCTGTCCAGGCCCTGGAGGAATCTCAGGCTTGGCAAAGGCACAGGACCTATGGGACTAACCCAGAAGGAGCTCCACTCATGGTTTAGTAAGTACCCTGCAAGTCCTTGCTTTTTAATAATTAATTAGTCCTCACAAACACACTGCAAGTTGGGCATTATCATCCTTCTTTACTAGAGAGAAAAGCTGAGGTTCACTCAGGTTGGACAAGGCGCCCGAGGTCATGGCCCCAGCCTGGCCTCATGACTTCAAATTCAGGTTCACTTCTTTTCCATCCACTACAGCTGCGCCCATGCTAGCGGTTTAGTGTGTATATAAATGGTTGATAAGGACTGAGCACAAAGTGTGTGCATAGTAGGCATTCCAGAAATATATGTGTGGGAGCTACCATGTGTGGGAGCTACCATGTAGACAATCCTACAAATGAGGAAATTGAGGCTCAAAGAAATCTAATGATTGGGACACAGCCGTTCAACTAACTGCTAAGCAGCAGCATCGGCACATGGAACGCAAGCTGTAAGTAGTACGACCCCTTACAGACTGCAAGAGAGCTGTTTCACTGTATGTTATCATTTATCCCCAAAGGAAGAACACGTGTATACATTGCTAGAAATGCGAACACAACCAAATTTGTCACGCTTACACAAATAGCCGTCCCAGGATATTCTAGAACAGGGCCAGGCATGCTATGGCTCTAGAAAACTTTAAATGAAATACTATTCCAGGAGGAATAGCAAATGTGGAACTGGCCAGGAGAGCCCGGCATTGGCCATGGAAATCCCACCACTCCCTGGGCATGAGCTCTATCGCTGCAGTGAAGTGAGCTTCTGGCCATCACCCCCAGGCTCTCAGCTCCTCGGAGGCAAGGCCTCTGCCCTCACTCGTCTCTGTATTCCAGGCATCTGGCAAAATGCCTCGTAGAGAGGCAGTGCTCAGGAAAGCTGCCCCGCTGCCTAAGCACACTCGGCCATACCTCATTCACCCAGCACTGACAAAGAGAGAGAGGGGATGACAATGTTACTGAAGTTTGGACCCTCCAACTTCTTTTAACTTAGACACTTTGGGTAAAAATCTTTCTCAATGTGTCTATCTTTAAATGTCATTCAGTCAATAATAGCACACAGATTCCCTCCTGGTACAGGGTTGTTATGAACATCCTTAAATATGCAGGGCAAAGATTCCATTATTTCTTTTTTGTTTCTCTGTCTCCTCTTTTCTGCTAGTGTCTATGTTATCATGTCTCCTACTCTTGTCTTACTTGGCCTCTAACACCCTCCTTCCATCCAGTAGCTTTAGGTTGATGATGAAATCCCATGCATTAGAAGGTGACTGAACTGGGAATCAGGCGATTCCAGTTTCAGTACAGGGATCCACCACTGCCTGTGTGGCCACAAGAAAGTCACTTAACCTCTCTGTGCATCAGATTCTGCCTCTTCAAAATGAGGTGGTTAATTCAGATAAACCCTAAGGTCACTTTGAGTTGTAACGGTCTGTGTGGGAAACTATGGTCCTCAGAGTTGCACAGGATGTTCTACATGTGATTTAACCAGTACAGGGTACTGGGAACATAACTTCACAGTGGCCACCACTTTAAAGGTGCCTGTGGGACCAGAGGCAGAGGAAACTGAACATTTCAAGCAGGTGGGGGGCCATGACCTTGGGAAGGTCACAGCAGGAAATGAAGCAAGAATTTTTGGCATCTCTATCTCAATCCTTCTATGTCTAGAGGACACAGAGGTGATGGGAAAACTAAAAAGACTGTCCCAGAAGATCACAGGAGTGTGGGGGAGACAAACTTCCAAGCCTTCTTCCGATGATTTCTTCCTGCCATTAAACGCAGGCACGCTGTGGTTTTAGCAGAAGGTATAGAGTCCTGCCCGCAGCCCAGGCACCAGCAGTGTGGCACAGGTCCCTGCATGGAGGGCACAGCCCATCCACACTCGTCCCTGAGCCAGTTCCCCAGGGCCTCAGAGGGGAGGGTGTGGACACCAACTATCAGAGTGAAAAGGGGAGGGAAAATCCTGGGAGAACCAAAACAAGCAGTCCCCAAAGTCCGAGCCTCGCAGCCAAGGGCATACAGGAGAACTCCTGCATGTCATGCTGCTAAGCTGAAAGGGACAGGAATTCAGACTCTCGGGAAGAATTAAATTAGAGAGGAGGGTCTCAAGCCTCAGAAAGGCAAAGAAAATCCGGTCAGTAAGATAGCAAGATTAAAGGTCAAAGGTCCACCTCAGACATTCCAGGGACTTTAATGGGATGGTCAGCCTTCAACAAGCGTAGGGAGGCTCCTCACCAGGAGCAGATCAAACCAGACGTGTTGACCACAGACGCCCGGCAGGATGAGAGCTCTAAAACAGCATTAGACAAAACCACCTGGGCCACAGCTTAGGGTGGTCATAGCAAAAACAGGCACCCAGAGACTCTAGCATGGCTTCGCTCCATGGAGTACGAGGCCATGAGCTTTAACGCTGATGTTCAGTTTTGTTTCTTTCCATGAGAAGAAGCTGTACGACTTTCTGAGGGGGTGGATTACAGGAATTTACCTGTGTCCTGTTGAATTAATAAATACTTATCCAAAATAAGGGTGGTATTTGTATTGTTGGTCTTTCTTTAAAAAAAATGATACTACTAATAATGTATAAAAGGTTTTTCCCCTAGGAGGAGGTGGTAGGTAAGAGCCATAATTCAAAGAACAAAAGTCCCTGCTAAATCACCCTCGCAAATACATAAAATGTTAACAGATCCAAGAAGTGTTTAGTATACCAGTACCCTGGTCATAAAAATCATCTTTAATGTTATTGTCTGAGGAAAGCCAGCAATAAGATAAGAGACTCTGAGAGAGACAGACAGACAGACAAAACAAGAGGTGGTCTGTACAAGCCTGTCTGTGCCAAGTTTTATGATGCAGGAAGCAGGGGCTCCAGCCCAGTGCTTGGTTTATGGGGACATTTAGCAAACCGAAAAGACTCTCCCCCTCCCACCAATCCCTCAGCCCCACCCTGAACTAGAAAAACAAAATCTCACAGGATTTCTCTATTCTGTTTGCTGGACACACAGGAAAACCATAGCGAGGGTTTATTCCAGTTTTCATACCAATGTGAAGGCCCCGGCAGGGAACCTTCCACCTTCAACACCAAAGGAAGGAGAAGTACAAGCCTCAGGCTGTCCCCAGCAAGCACCAGACGCCCCCAGCAAGCACCAGACGCCCCCAGCAGATAATAGCATCCTGAGAAGTCAGGATGTTAGAGACAAGGCCTCTCAATTAGAGGCAGGGAGAGACGGTCTTCAAGATCATTAAACAGAAGGAAAAGTTGATTAGGAATCCTCAAAGGGCTTTCTGCTCCTTTCTCTCTCCCCATGTGAGCAGCCCCAAGCCTACCTAACCACTTGTCTGTCCCCTTTCATCTCAGAGCTGCCAAAGCTAAGAATGCCACTCTGCTAAACTTTGAGCAAACCAATCTTTCATCTTCCCAAACCACGGATTCAATTACTCTTGCTTGTGAAGACAAAAGCACTTTGCAGAATTTAAGGTACCATTCAAAAGGTACTAAGTTACCAGGCCGGCCTATGGCTCACTCGGTAGAGTGCGGTGCTGATAACACCAAGGCCACGGGTTCAGATCCTATATAGGGATGGCCGGTTGGCTCACTGGCTGAGCGTGGTGCTGACAACACCAAGCCAAGGGTTGAGATCCCCTTACCGGTCATCTTTTTTTTTTAAAAAAAAAAAAAAGGTACTAAGTTACCATCATTGTTACTAAATTTAAGTTACTAAGTTATTATCATTTTTACTATGATTAGTTTATCATTACAATAAAACTATTCAATACTATAAGAAGTTAAGGATGGGGGCCGGCCCGGTGGCGCACTGCTACAGTGTGCCGCTTGGGAGCACGGCAGCGCTCCTGCCGAGGGTTCGGATCCCACATACAGACCAGCCGCTCACTGGCTGAGTGAGGTGCAGGCGCAACACCGAGGGTTGCGATCCTGCGATCCCATTGCCGGTCCCGGTCCGGTACGGGCGCGACACTGAGGGTTGCGATCTGTTGCCGGTCACGAGAAAAAGACAGAAAGGAAAAAAAAAAAAAAAAAAAGTTAAGGATGACCACCACGTAATAGTCAGAAAAGTCTTTCAGCTGGCTAAAAACATAGTCTACAAAATATTCTCTAGTTATTTCTCAGCTCCCAACAATGTCACAGTAACATTTCCAATGCCAGAAAATTTTGTCACTTTTGATGTGAATACCAGAATTTTCCTAATTCATGGTTTTGACCACAGTGGAATTTCTCTCAGACCCAGATCCAGTTGTTTTAGGTCCTTAGCTGTGCTATGTGTAAGGTTAATTTAGTAAAGACATTTTAAACAGTGACACAGGAATGCTTCCCTGCTAGAATAAGGAACTATAAGACATCACATTAGCTCATGCAGAGCTCCTTGAAGAACTCTGAGCCTGTTTTTCTTCATGTGCAACCCTCCCCAGCCCACCAGCCTCGCACCTATCCACCACACACACACACTCAACACAAACTCACAGTCACACTCACACGCACCAAGACCAATGGAGCATGAGACCTGGCAAACTGCATGCTTTCTTGTTTAATTTTAGTTAATTTTTGCTTTAAAACACAGCTCCTTTTCACTTCAATAGCTAAGTAAAGTCTGTAGGTAACATCAAATCAAAGACATTAACTTGCAAAAAGAACTGCCACAACAGTAGCTGTCTGTAAAGCTACACGACTGTGCCAGTTGTTGGGTTGAGGCAATAGGTACGCTAATTGTATGGCTGGGCATTTCATAACTAAAGCCAAGGCATTTCATTATTTTAGTTATATTAAGTTTCCATTTGTATTGTCAGGGCTAGGGCTCAGACCCTTCAAACCCATTGTACATACTGGGTCACCAGACCCGTCACATGCCAGGCTGGGTCACCAGACGCAGGAGGTGTGGACCCCTCACACACAGGTCCATGCTAGGTAATTGGGAAAGATCCCGGAAGCCACTGGCAGATGACATGAGCTTAGTCCTCAGCAGTAGCAGTAGAAGCAGCAGTGGCAGTGGCCTCTCAGGGCATCCTGGGGGCACCGGCAGCAGCAGCTTGCAGCAATAGTATGGTACTCCAGCAGAAGTAGCGGTCTCCCCGTGGTCCCACTGGGGGCATCCCTGGGGACTGGGAGTGCCCTGGATGAGAGCCACTCGTCCTTTATAATTAAGTCATAACCCAGGACACCTGGGTGCACATGCGCAATGACATTAGACAATAACCAAGGAACACCTGGGCGCGCATGCATATTTACATCAAATGCTCAGCAAGATTCTGAACATCTGAGGGGCCCTGATCATTTTTCTGTATTTTCCCAACACTGTCTCACACTATGGACTGCTGTGGGGTTACTTTTAACATGAAAATACACGGCTCTGAAAAATACATCCGTTATACTGTCTGGATAATTAAGTAAACCTTAAAGTCATCTCTGTGCCTAAAGATTATTTATTCTCAGCACATATTAAATTCCAAAAGGTTTGCTCTTGGTTTTTTTCTAGAGGGCTCTTATGCCTGCTATCACACAGAGAAACTACATAGACT